ATCGATATTCGATGTTGAAGTATAAATAACGTTGAAAAATTGGAAACTTGCAAAATGAATTAGTAAGTGAGAAATAAACGCTTGTAGTATATACTGTTCATTTTCGAGGAAAATTATGGACAATTTGCCTAGGATTTTTCAAATATTTTAGATTTAATTGCGAATAAAATTGTCAGAACATGTGGAAGAAATTGTTCACAATTTTTCAAGTAAATTCATTTTTTATTGAAGGAAATATGGCATCGTCTAAAGGCTCATGCGGCGTTTCCCCTAGCACGGCAGCAAAAAACCATATATCAACGGTGAGACTACCAGACCATGTATCTTGTTTGCGATATTCAAAAATCTCCGATTCACTTTATTTTTCGTGAGGAGAGCAAATCGATATCATTCCTTAAAGTTTTCATAGAGTTTTTCCGCACAGAGAAGAAAAATCTCACAGGTTCTCAAGAATTGACGTTGAGTAGTTTTCCACTTAAAAAATAAAGTATTTCAGGAAGTCTGTGACGTCGTAAACCGAGATACGTGATTTGATATTTTTACCGTCTATATGGTTTATAATACAAAATCTGAAGATATAAGGTGTAGTGCGTGATACACTCTTAGCACGGCAAGAAAAACTGCACGTTTAGTAACACAAAATCTGAAAATCTGTGCTATAGCGTACTGCACAGATCTTCAGTGTTACAGGGGGCGTGATACCACTATTCGACCTCCTGGGCGCTTGGTGTGCCTATTCAATTCATTGAAGGCGTTTTTATTCGCCGTCGCCTCTGGCTGAATTCCAACAAACTATCGTGCATGATGACAAGCAGATTTTCATTCGGAACTTTCCTCTTCAATTAATTTTTCGCATAAGATGTCTAAAAAATGCGATGCTACTCTAAGTGCATAGAACTACATCTACAAATTCCTGAATTTTCTCGAAGAATTTTCGCATTTCTTGGAAAACTGATGTTTCTCTCCGAAAATTGTTGCTCATCATGTGATTTGGCTAACTTAAAGAAGAGTATGAAAATTAATGTATCAAAGTTGACTCATTTTTATGAGAAATGAAGATTCACTTCATTCTCTCAAGAACATTTGCCGTTATTTACGACTATTTCAGACTTGCCGTGTGCGTTTTCCAATCTTTGGGGTTTAAAATCACCCCTAAAGACCTATAAATAACATACACAGACATCGACTCATTAAAAGAGTATAAAAATACATGAGATAGAAAATAATGACCAATTTCAATTGATTGTTTTTCATCTGAGTTTTCGAGTCAAAGAGCACCCCAACAATGAGAAAGGCCAAACGATAAGTTAAGGTGATAATTTGCGGTCTAAATCAAATAACTACCGCCAATTATTAAACGCTAATTATGTGCGACGAGAGAGTAGCGTTACCAGTTTGGGCAGATTTTAACGAATCTCTCCGCATAATCACCAGTGGCCTGGCGTGCTTTGCGATGTATCGATTGATTTGCGATTTAAACCTACGGAAAAGGGTCGATAAACAGGGTGTTCGCAGCGAACAACTTAATGATCGATGATTTACCATAGCTTCAAATTGGGAGATATCGATACTTAATCATCCATGCCTCGCCACTGGCAATCACATGGTTGTATACCTAGATAATGTCATTATTGCCTCGGAAATGTGGGGAGAATGCGAAACTATGCCGATTGCAAGCAGAGGAGGAAAATAGATTTGATAAATAAATCGTTCCGTCTGTTTGACGCCACGGGGCACTCCACTGCCAAAATTAACCCGCAAATAATCTATTCCCCCCGTTTCATCTGTAGAGCCAAAACAACTTAAATTAATAAGCGTTAGCGTTCGTTGGTCTCTTTTGTTTGGGGGTCACGGGTTAGGGGAATACGAAAGGCCATAGCAGTCCCGTTCGAAATCCGGGTGTTTAACGCACAATGTGACATCGCGAAAAGCGAGTCAATAACGAGAAATTCTGTTGTTGCCAAATCGGGAATCGACCTGTTGCAAATGACAGCTTCAACAATGAGAGGTACTTAAATTTCCGAGGGAGAAATAGTTCAAATATCACGATTTACATAGAGGCATAGGATTCGCGGCGGGGGGGGGGGGTTAAATTTGCTCCTCAACTCACAATCTGCCAAGTTTTTTTTCCCCCAAAATTCTCGCTTCAAAAAGTTTCGCAGGTATGCATTTGGTGCACGCGGGTCATCCCTGTTTGATCAGAACGCGAAATCACGATTTTTCAATTTTGTTCCAGGGTTTCGGCTTGGATGAGCGGACTTTGCCCTAGCGATACCGCTTATTGTGAATTTTGAGCCATTTAACAATGGTACATCTTTTACAGGCACAACTGTAGTTGATATTTGAAAACTATTGTCCAGTAAACTAACTTACTTCGGTCACAAGGATTGAATATAAATTAATATAGGACATCGAAGTTTCAAATCTAATTGGGTGATGATTGAAAATGATATACGAAACTGTAGACAAAGGAAAAATGGAGCTGTTCGATTGGAGGAAACTGATGGTTGCAATGGACAAAAGAGGTATTATAAGTAACAGGCGAACTAACGGAAAAACAAGAGAGACTCTATAGATAGTCCATCGTTTTTTTTCTGGTCTAAAAAAGCAAGTGTTTCAGTTTCATCAAGATCTTCCAAATGTCTCCCAAATACTCTTGTGCAGTTTTTTTGTTGAGTAAAATATTTCTATACGAATCTAGGTGTTTCCTCGGAAATTTTAAAACCACCTAGTGCAACGCACACATAGAAAAAAATAGAAAAAAAACCGAGTGGGATATCTCAATTTTCGTGTTATCCCTTTTGCCCATCACCTGGCTAAATTAATTTCAATGATCAGCCCGCAACTGCACGTGACCAAAGTTTCCGGTCATAGAAACCGGACTTCAGTCTGCATAACCGAAAGTCTTCGGTGGAGATACGAGTCTGAGTGTGGCTCGCTTAAAAAAAACTTTATCTATCTCAATTTGCTACTCCTCCGACGTAATCTTGATTTCGGCACGAGCCCCGGAAATCATAGATTCATATGTGGAACAAGGCTCACGTGGAAACTAACGTGGAAACAATACACCATTACATCAGGGGAGCGACAAATTGAAGTTATTTTTCCTTGACCGAGAGGATCGGAAATGGAAAACGTCAGATGAATGTCATTCGAAACTGAACAAATATTAGTCAGACAAGAATAAACTATCATTTTTGTGGCACACAATCATTTATAAATTTGAGAAAATTGGATTTAAATTTTAAACCCATAACTCCAGCTTGTTTTTTTATTATATGTAAAATATTGCTATTGAAAAATATAACGAGATATAATTGATGGAATTGATTTTATCAATTTAATTAGTTACATCTAATTTCATGGCGTGCTTTGAATGAACGGAAAGTGTCTCCTCCGTGCGATATTTTACTTGCACCTGCAGTAATGAGAGAATCCCGATTTTTACCCACCGTTTGACATCAGTGGAAAGCGCGAGGGACAGGCCGAGGTGGTGGAAAGGGGTGGCTCAAACCACAGATGTAGTTAAATATGTGTTTTATGGTAGCGCGAATCGCGATACGCTAACATGGTTAATATTGAACGCAAGCCACATCCGGGCTTTATGTGTTTTTCCGCGCTGAAAATTTGCCAGACGGGGGGCTTATTCTTCATTCTTTACTCTCACTTTTGAAATATGGAAATGATCCGAATCGGGGTCAGGTGAGTGAAAACACGGCCGCGCCGCCAGGAGAGATTTCCATCCCCTCCGTCCCTTAATACCATTCCGTTTCCCGGGTTTCCGCTTCTACCCTTACGGAGATCAAATCAAAATCCGATTTGGAAATAAAAGGGCCCTGACATAGCACTGGCTCGCTATCCCTCTTCGGGTTTATCCCAACGGGGGAATCACTCATAAGAAAATTAAGATACGCAAGAGTTATCGCGGACAAAGTTATTTTTGTAGAGGTAAATACAGTGGCGTGACGTGTTTTTGCGATATATCGATTGATCTGCCGTTTGAACCTACGGAAAAGGATCGATAAATAGGGTGTTCGCAACGAACACAGTAATAATCGATTCTTTACCATAGGTTTAAATGGGGAAATATCGATAATCGATCATTTACGCCTCGCCGCTGGTAAATATAGCTTTACACGATTCTCAGAGTTAATTTTAAAGTAGAAGTTAGCTCGCTAAAGGTCCCAAAAAACTGAGAATCGAGAAAAGAGCACTTAATATGTGACCCGATTTGTAAATAATAAGGTGCTAAAATAGTGCTAGGTCCACATTATTCCAGAAGCCAGAGCCAAAAGAATTTCAAATAAAATCAAAACCATTGAGCTTTAATGAGTAACCATGCAAAATTGTAAGGGGACAGTGTTCAACTGATAGGCAGATGCATTGAGCCTGAGCTGAACTTTCTCCCCCTAAACTTGCACCAAAACTCGTTAGATCTCAAAATTAATGACTCTAATTGAAATTTTGGGAATTTTTATGGCCTTGGTTTCTCCTCGGAATAATAGAGATTCAAATTGATAAATTTCAATGCGCCAAGGTTGCGGTTGCACATGTCTCAGAATCGTGTTTTGGTTATTAAATCCTAGAAAACTATGAGTAATAAGATCTATTTGAGTGCCAAATTCTAACGTTTCGTAGTAACGGAATTATCATTCTTCAAAGATTACGGCGATTGTCGTGAACCTAAGACTAATTTAACTCATTTAACGCTTAAAGTCTATGGTTAGGAACTACTTAATTACACGTCACACAGTGAATTTAGTCAAAAGGACAGGTCGGACAAAATTTGGAAATTTTAAACGCTCATAAATTCGTTTATAAAGAAACTTTGGGTTTCTGAAAGCGGCTTCACTGGTTTTCTCGTGTAATTTTCCTTTAGAACTACCCTTAAAATTTAACATGTGACGAAATAAACATAAACATCTGCAGTTTAAGTCAAAAATGTCATATCCGATCTCTCTAATTGACTCGATATTCATTGTGCGCCATAAAAAACTTACCGGGAGTGGTTTGTTGTTGGGACCGAGGAGTGAGTCGGAAACATTGAGTTTTCCATCGATGATTAGTCGTTGAAGCGTGAGTTTGTAAGACCCGACCAATTTGTCGCTCAGGTATCTACTCGTGCAAAACACTTGGATGTTTATCTCCTCATGACCCTCAACGCCTCTTGCAGTCGGCCAGACAAATCGCTGAAAATAAAAAAAGGTGCACACTTTTTTATAAAATGATTTTAAAATCGGTGAAGAATCATACGCATATACACACAGGAGGGGAATCGATGTTAGTGACAGTTCTTGTATGACCATATATCGTCGGCTACTGCACAAAAGAACATAACTGCATTCCGAAGTTGCAAAATTGACGCAAAAAATAATTTTTTCCACAAAAATGAACCTTTCCATTTTTTGTCAAAAATCTCTCTGATTTTTGTAATGGAAAAAAATCAATGAAAATTTCAGTTAAAAATAGTCAAGATTTCTCTCTTTAAAATGCAGTTTCCAAGGATAAATTTGGCAACATTGAAATGTAGTTACGTTCCTTAGTGAGGCAAACGACGATATGTGACCGCCCTAACGGCCGAATGAAAATATATACGAGTGGGACAAGTGAAGCTGCAAAGGTTCCAAAAGCTTTGTTGGCTTTGTAAATGTAAGCTAGAACCTGCCAGCTTTGATAACAATCTAACGATGGCAAACTATGATTGTTATTGACCAAGCTCCCTTGAAGCACATCAAGAATATTCATTATGACCGCTCAACGATTTAACCAACCCCGCATTTTATGGGTTTCTCTTGTTGAGCTCTACCTCAGAGTCCAGTGTTTATATTTTCATGAGACTTTTGTTTCAAACCTAAGGTCGTAACCATAATATTGTAAGCGAAAGGTGTAACTTTTTGTCGAGAACGGCTGCCACGATGGAAGGGACTTAAATTATACTTCTAAAGTAGATACTTAAATTACCCTCAAATCGTGCGGCTACGGTCTTATCTCAATATTTCACTGGGATCACTTTATCGATGGCGAAGCAACGAGAAACTCCTATCTCAGTTTGAGACATTTTAGACTTTCCATTATACTTTTTTTTAAATCGATATAAACTATTCAATTTCATTACTTTTAAACTGAACCGATTTTCTTCTGATAGGGAAATAATATCCTGCAAAAATTTTAAGCAATAATATTGAAAAGAAATTATTTTCTGAATGCCTTTTTTTGAAAATAAAACACGGTAAAAATATCGAGATACGTGTATTTCTGGTTTCACTGTCAAGATGTAATAATACCATATTCTTCCTTTGATTTTTTTGATATATGTTAGATTAAATTGAAAATAAAATGGTCAGAGGAGTTTAAGGAAGAAGATTAATAATTTTCCAAGTAAATTTATTTTTTATAGAAGGAAATATGGCAACATTTGAAAGCCTATATAGTGTTTTCTCTTAGAACGGCAAGAAAAAACTGCACGGCTAGTAACACAAAATCTGAAAATCTGTGCTAAAGCCTACTGCACAGATCTTCAGTGTTACAGGGGTCGTGATACAACTATTCGACCTCCTGGGAGCTCGGTGTGCCTATTCAGTTCATTGAAGGCGTTTTTATTTGCCATGGCTTCACGCTGAATTGCTATAAGCTATCTTGCGTGGTAACAAGCAGATTCTCATTTGAAACTTTACATTTAACATAATTTTGAAAAGAAATTATTTTCTGAATGTTCTTTTTTGAAAAGAAATCACAGTAAAAATATTGAGATACGTGTATTTATGGTTTCACCGTTAATATAGAAAATTACTCATATCGTCGCTCCTGTGACATCAGGGCGTACTTCCATTTCTGAGCCCTTCTGTCCATATGATGTCATGAGTTCCGGGGTTGATCTGGAAGTAGAGATACAACCTCACGTCAGAGGAGCGACGATATAGGAGAAATATTTAAAATATCTCATTTATTTCCTTTTGACTATAAAAGAGCCTTGTTTTTTACAAATTTTTGAACAGGTCAGTTTGCGCGCAAGGGGTTGCAATCTTTTGAAGGCAAAATCTGATACATTTTATTTCTTTTTCATAAGAGACTTCCTGATAAATGATGAAAAAAAATTTACGTAGTAAATCATGGGTGAATAGAAAGCGGATCCACACGATGATCGTTTTTATTTAATTTCAATATCCATAATAAGCTACATAAAAATCATTGTTTTTGAATCGTCAAATCATGGCATTTGACGAACTGATAATAAACTAAATCGTCGTCATCACCTTTACGTATGAATAATGGTATAACTACATGTTAAGAATACTCCCCCCCCCAAAAAAAAAAAAAAAATAATAATAATAATAATAATAATGTTTTTTGACATTTAAAATCAGGCAATGCCGAGAAACAAAGAGAACAGCAAAAAATTACTTCTCTCCGCCTTTGAAAGAATTGAGCTGAACAAATAGAGGAACGAGAACGCCGGCTTTAAAATTAACGGCGAAGTGAAAAGATGACGTCATACACTCATCGCCACCTTACGATGACCCAATTTATGCAAGCAACACACAGCTCCGGCGCTGAACCCAGCGTAGCTTTTTAATCTACTCGCTGTCAAGAATCGCAAATCAGATCTCAAGCAGCTCTCACACCAGGCAACTTCCCATTGACTGTTATGACATATTTACTCTCGAAAGTCTCAGAGCAGCTAGACGTCTAATTACACCTCATGAAACCGTTTAAGAACAAAAAGTAAAGCGAAACTGAGTGTCACTTCAATTGAAAGGTCGTGCAATTTTAGCTACTCTGAAGTTGAAATAATTGTATCGAGTATTTTAGACTCTCAGTGGCTGCGTAGTAGGGCTATAACAATTTGCTTGAGGTAATATTGTATTGAGTAATATTGTAATCGTGCGGTGAAACTGCAAGAAAGTTCATCTCGGTTCGCGACTTCGTAAACTTTTTTCCATATTTTATTATTTGAACAAATTACTCTAAGTCCTTTATTGAAAATCGTCCTGATTTTCCCCGCTGTGTGAAAAGTAATCGATGTTACAAGCGGTAGCTTTGGCTCAATTGTTCTAATTTTAAAATGATACAGTTGGATTGGAGATTTAGGAACAATCGAGATATGCGTTATTCAGGCACATGATTCATATCGAAAGGATTGTTTATTATGTTTCCTCAGTTGTGTTATACCTTTTACATTGTACTGATATTTGAAAGGTCGCTAAACTCTATCGCACGATGAAACCAGCGAATCAACTTAATACTTGTGAAGGCGTCATGTTACCGATGGTCTCCATCTCTGGTGGCACTTTTTTGCAACCCTCAAAAGTTTGGCCGTAGACGGTAGAACACCGTGAGTCATCAATCACTAACCTGTTACAAAATCCGATCTTGCCAAATCTCGATCTAGGAATATGAAATAAAAATTTTTCATTGTATAAAGTTTACACAAATTTTGGGACTGTTGCGAATACATTCAATCGCTGGGATGATACCATCTTGCTTAACGTAACGCATCTCAAAAATTGCGATGAGCACTTCGGCAAAATAATAAGTTTATATACTCCTAACGTCACATACATCGCGTAAAAAGGAACCAGCGCTTTTTTCAGTAATGTTTATTCTGTCATTTTTTCAGAACCCAAGACGGTCACCATTATGAGTCAAGAATGCGAATTAATTTGCATTCTTTACTAAAATGCATTTGACTTCGTTGGCATTAACTTCACAGGCGTATTCTGTAATCCTGTTTCGAACCCTTCTCTGCTAAAATTAACTTTTGATCACTATTAAATGCCGTATTTTGATGACTTTTACAGATTTTTTTTCAGTTTTCTGAAACCCAGAGAAGCTGAACATCAGTCTTTTGAAACACCGCAATGTAGATACGTGATACTGTACTCTGACCATTGAGATGTGATACGAACATCCGTAAAGCTTGAATAGGCATTAAGGCGATATCTCGTCACCAACGCGTCCGTTAATCAAGCGCTGCAGTCAGTGCGCTGAAATTCAAAACGCCTTCAATTTTTTGAACGCAATATGGACATCTGTCGAGGTTGTATAGTTGTATCAAGGCGCCGTTGTCAGCGCGTCCTAGTCTTCTTGTTACGGACGGACGAGTAAAATCGGTGCGAAAAGAGCCGAAGTGCCTTCAGTTTTCTACTATCCGATGACCAAAATGAGAGACCACGTATCTCCGTTTGCGACGTTGCAGATTACTTGTCAAAATCTATTTTTTCTTCGGATAACTAGTCAACGTAAAATGTTTCTCCGTGATTTTTCATCTCTGTTAGCAGAGAGTCTGGCATACAAATTAAGTTGTAACGTTCGATTGCTTCGCATCGAAATAATAAAATAGGAGCGGTTTGCCAGACGCGATTCGGCTTTTTGAATGCCACGGTTACACGGTAAAAAATGTCCTTAAAAAAAAATGTGTTACAAGTATGAAATGCTAATTATACATTTAAAAACTGCTACCTCAAAATTCGATTTGTTTATTTAACGTAGATAAGGGAGCATTATTTTTATTGTAAAATCAGCGTTTAAAATTGTGAATCCTTTTGACATTATGAATGCTAAAGCAACATTCAATTTTTTTCCATGTGGCGGTATGACAAGCGTTCATTAAAAGCGGATCAACCGGACGCTTTTTTGTCTAGCGCATACGGCAAAGCTCATACTGTGTGACGCGGGAGTGGGTTAAAGGGTGGGGAGGGGAGGGGTGGAAAAGAAGCTCTTGATGTCAGCGGCACGACAGCAACCTGTTGTCAGACGACTTATTGATTCACCCACTCCATCGATGTTGGCTCAAAGAAAAAACGCCGTATAAACATTCGAGAGTTGCCAAATTTGTCCAGATATGAGCAAAGTTGTGAATATATTTCCTCGAAATTTTCAAATATTTTAGATTATATTGTGAACGAAAGTGTGTGAAAAATTGGAAGAAAAATATTCACAACTTTTTCAATAAATTATTATTTTATCAAAGAAAATTTAGCAGCTCTCAAATGTTCATATGGCGTTTTCTCATAGCACAGCAGCAGTCGTCCTTGTAGAAAGCCTCAAAAAAACGTAACACTTTAATTTCAGTACATAAAGAGCCGCGCACTTACAGTGCTCGGTGTTTGAGTGAACCAAAAAAGGCATTACAAATTTTACAAATTTAGGCAAATTTACGTAGGTCGAATCAACGTAAGTTCCTATAATG